AATGGGTGTAAATGTGCGACCACCGTGGCTAAGATACGGAACAGTTCCACCAGCCCCCCAAATTCTTACCAGGTTCGGCATTGCCGGGTTTTGTCTTTAGCCATTCCAGTAGGTGCACAGCAGTATCTCAGTGTTGGTGTGTTTCTGGTATGGGGGACCCCCGAAAAAGAAGCTCAGGAGGGGCTCCTGTGTCCAGGGTCTATGGATGATATTGTCTAGGAAAGTCAAAAAATTCCCCTCTTGGATTTGTGACTTCTCTAAGAAAATGCCTTGGAAGGCCATTTAAAAATTTTTAACTTTTTAATTACAGTTGACATACAATAGTACATTAGTTTCAGGTGTGCAATGTAGTGATCAGACACATATGCACCCTATGAAGTGGTCACCCTGGAAGATCCAGTAGCCGTCCGACACCATGTGTGGTTATCAATCACGGCATTATTCTCCATGTTCCCTATGCCATACTTCCACCCTGTGACTGTTTTTAGAACCGGCAATATGTACCTCTCAATCCCTTCTCCTTTTTCTCCCATTTCCCCTCCCCCTGCCGTCTTTCTCTGTGTAACTTAGGTCACTTAGTATAATACTCTCTAGGTCCCGCTATACTGTCACAAATGGCAAAGTTTCATTCATTTTGATGGCTGAGTAATATTCCATTGTTTATGCATATGCACCACATCTTCTTTATCCATTTGTCCACTGATGCACACTTAGGTCACTTCCACATCTTGCCTATTGTAAATAATGCTGAAATAAATGTAGGGGAACATATATCTTTTCAAATTAGTGCTTTGGGTTTCTTCGGATAAATACACAGAAGTGGAATTGCTCGATCATATGGCAGTTCTATTTTTTATTTTTTTGAGGAACTTCCATACTGTTTTCCGTCGTGGCCACATCCACTTTCAATCTCACCAAAAGTGCACGGGGTTCCCCTTTCTCCACACCCTCGCCAGCACTTGTTTCTTGATTTACTGATGACAGCCATGCTGACCAGGGTGAGGTGGTACCTCATTGTGGTTTTAACTTGCACTTCCCTGATGGTTAGTGATATTGAGCATCTTTTCATACTTCTATTGGCCATCTGTATGTCCTCTTTGGCGAAATATCTATTTAGGTCCTCTGCCCATTTTTTAAAATGGAATTTGTTGTTTTGGTGTACAATTGTGTGAGCTTCTTACATATTTTGAATATTAACCCCTTATGAGGTGTACCATTGGTGACTATCTTCTCCAACTCAGTAGGTTGTCTTTCTGTTTGGTTGATGGTTTCCTTTGCTGTGTGAGGACTCTGGTTTGGTGCTGTCCTTGCTGGGTTTTTTTTGACACAAATGGGAGGCCCCTGGACTCAGCATGCTTGGGAGGCAGAGACTAAGAGGAGCTGACTTGCTCCAAATAATCATAAGGGAAGGACCTCTCAGTTGAGGGACACAGCTCCAGAGAAGAGAGTGAGAGGCCAAGAACGCCAATAAAGGACATCTGGGATGGTTTTACAGGCAGAGAGGAGTTTTGTGAACGTGGCAGGTACAGAGACAGAGACCTCTGGAGGATGAAATTCCCCAGGCACAGGGTCCAGCCAATGGTTTTCTAATAGGGAGGTTAGACATTGAATTTGGAGTTGTTTTCTGCTCTGCGCTGTGGCATGGGGTGGATGTGCTTCAGAGAAAACACAGAGGGGGGTGGTGTCAAGCTTGGGGTGAGGTTGGAGAAGTGAGAGACCAGAGGGTTTCCTCGAGGGTGAGGAGGCACAAGGGCTACAGCAGAGCAGGCTCAGGAGAAAGGAGAGCCACCCGGCCTAGACCTCTCCCACGGAATGGTCCTTCGGTCCTTTGAGGTAGTGCAGAGGGCTCTGGGCTTCCTGCAGAGCATGGGCCTCAGTCTGTTTGCTTTGCTTTGTTTTTTTAATAGGAAAGAAGAGAGACCTCTAGGGGTGAAGCGGACTTACAGCCATCAGACTGCACAGGTCTGCCTCAGAGATGGATGTGGCTCTGCCCTGCGGGTTCTGTCTGAGAGGGCAGCTTCCATCCTGGGGGCCAGCTGGACGCAGCAGCTGCGTGATCTCAGGTGTCTGCAGAGCACTGGAGACCCCTGGGCCTTTTGGACTCAGAAAAGTCATGTATTAGTCAAATCTCATGCATTCGTCTCCTATTGCTGCTCTAACAAATTAAACTCAGTGGCTGAAAACAGCACTTTTATTATCTTACAGTCCTGTGGGTCGGAAGTCCGGCATGGGTCTCACTGGGTGCACATCAAGGTGCCCACAGGACCGCATTCCTCTGGTAAGTTCCAGGGGGGAATCCGTTTACTTGCCTTTTCCAGCTGCGAGGGGCTTGCGGCCCCTTCCTCCACCTTCAAAGGCAGCCAGTGGGGATTTGAGACCTTCTCACGTGGCAACGCTTCCCCCTCCTCTGCTGCCGGTGTCTTCCAGGAACCTCTGTGGTCACACTGGGCCCACCTGGATGACCCGCGCTACTCTCCCTATTTTAAGGTCAGATGATTAGCAAACTTAATTCCCCTGTGCCTCCTGACGTGTACTCACGGGACCCAGGCGTTAGCATGTGGACATCTTTCCAGGGAGTGTATTTTCTGCCACACTTTGCCACTGGGCGTAAGTGGGATTCTGATCCAGAGAAGCTGAGCTGAAGAGCAGCGTCCGCCTGTACCTGAAAATGGAGAAAGTAGAGGGAGATTCTGGGGAGAAGGACTTTGCTATGAAAATAACATGGGTCAGAGCAGCGGCAGTGGGAGGGAGGAAACCATGTCAAATGCTGCTACAGGTGAGCTCTCAACCAGCTACGATGAAAATGACAGCTGTTTCTGCACGTCACCCTTCACCTGCGCTGGTGCAGCCTGCTGGGGCGCAGAGTCCCGGCCGACCGTCCTTGGAGTTTGGAATAGTTGGCAACATCCCCGAGTGCAGTCTGTGATTGATTGATTACCTGGTTCACTCCCGCGCCGGCAGAGCGATGTGCGTGCTGTGTCCACACACAGAAACTCTTGGGATCTCCCCAGGGCCTGAGTTCCGCCCTTAGCGTTAGTTAAGCAGGGAACGCGGTCGTTTGGGCCACAGGTGAACTCTTCAGCTGCTAGAAAACAGATCAGGCATCTCGTGTCGCCACCACCACTCTCTCCTGACAAAGTCTTCCAGGGCTCCCTACTGCTCCTCAGAATGAATGACATGGTTTTCCACCCTACCCCACCTATGTCATCCTCTTGGGGGTGTGCTTTTAATGTGTGAAGGCTTGAGGGATGGAAAATGTGCAGAGAGCATCACCAGTCTCCTGGCCAACCACTTCCAGGGTGTCCTCTAATGGAGGTGATGACCCAGCAGCCCACCCAGTTCTTTCCTCGGCCTTATCTACTTGAACACCCTCCTGGACAGCACATGAAGAACTGTCTCCCTCCCTAATCAATCATCGATCTATCTCCCATGTCTTTAGATGTTTGATTTTTGCCCCATGCTGAGCCTACATCTTCAGAGGCCCCTCTTGCCTCCTTAGCCCTGGAGTTGGGGTGGGATGGGCCCCCCAGTGAGATGTAGATCCATCTTCGGGCTTTGTCGGCTCCAGCAGCTCTGACTCCTTTGGTTCTCGGGGTGACTGCAGCAGGGTCTCCAGCCCGCTTCTCCGACCCCCGCATCGACAGCAGGGACTGGTGGGCCCTGATGTTTTGACCTCCGTGTACAATCGGGTCCGGAGTCTCTGCCCTGTGAATATTTTTTGTGCCAAGAAATCCGTAAAAGCTAAGTCTCTGAGCAGTTTCGCAATGAAAATTACTAGAAATAACCACTCTGAGTAAATCCGGCAGGGGCTAAACAAGCACATTGTGAGGAAGATCTTCGGTTTGCAGAATACAGAGCTGCAGAGAACAATACAATGACCCGACTCAAGAAGACCCTATTAAGTGAAGGATGTGGGGAGACTGGTGACCCCCCATCTCCCTCCAATCCTTCACACATTAGTGTACGCCCCAAAGTGGGTGACAAGGATGGAAAACCCCACCATTCATTATAAGGAACTGTGAGAATCCCTGGCAAGGTTTTACTAGGAAGTTGGAGGAGGAGCCTGTGCAGGTCTGCGGCGCTCAGCACTGAAAAGGAGGGCCACAGCTGCGGGGCCGGGGCGGGGCCGGGGCGGGGCCGGGGCGGGGAGGGGGCTGGGAGGGGGCGGGGCGGGGGCGGGGCGGGGGCGGGGCCGGTCCTGGAGCCAAAGAGGCGGGAGGTGGAGAGAAGGAGCTGCCCAGAACAGAGAGGCCTGGGAATGACTGTTGAGTTGGAAATATTTTTGGCATCCTAATACCACCTAGCATTTTAAAATGTTTAGCACGTGCCAGGCACTAAGTCCTTTCCATACTTTATGTCATTTACCCTAACAACACAAAAGCACAAGAGGATGGCATTATGATTATTCTCCCCTCTGAACCCCAGGAGGGTCGAGCGCTTCACTAGAGGTCTCACGGGAAGCAGCACGGAGAATGGACCAAGTTTACAGTCTTTCTTGGGGGCATTTCATGGACTGTCTCACATGATGTGGCATCCGTTGCATCCACGTCCCCAGAAATAGCTCCACAAACTCCCAGAAAACACTGAGATGGACAGTTCCTCTCCAGGGTGAGCACCCCAACCCTCCCACAGGCTCCGGACCAGCATGTAAAACTTTCCCCGTTCCAACACTCCAGGATGGGGACACCGGCAGGGCCCCACAGACACCTGGCCTCATCCATCCCAAGAAAACAATGCTGGCAAGTCCCCCTGCCAGGGCACCCCCCATGCCCCCGCCCCTGCAGCCACATGTTCTGCCTCTGTGGCCCAGCCAGGGACAAGTGTGTGGGCTCAGGTACAGGACTCCCAAAGTCAAGGGTTTCAGGTCACACTGGTGAAGCAGACGCCTCGGGTTTCTTCTCAGACTGGGCAGCACACGAGGTCAGCGTCAGCAGATCGGACCCTAAAAATAGGCCCTCAGACGCCAGTCTGGGCGGCTGAGTGTGCCACACCATACACCCTGCGGACAAGCACCTCCTGACCCAGCGTGGCCCCAGTGCACAGGTAAGGCCCTGGGCTGGCGAGGCCGGCATCTCTTGGGTCCAGCCAAATGTCCTTCAGGGGCCTGGGTGTAGGGATTAGAAGCCCCTTCCCACTCTATCTCTAGAGAGACAGAGGACAGCTGACATCCTTTTAGTGTGAAAGGCTTCTCGTTACCCATTTTTCTCTAGAGACTCCGTGGAATTTTCTCTACTCGCCTCCCTCCAAATCTGAGCTTCAGCTCAATGCTTGTTTCTAAAGGGTAACGGGGAGGGTTAAAGCCCAGTGGAGGCACTGGACGCCCTGTGTCACATTCCAGCAAGGCCTGCATTTGTCCATTTAGCCCATTGAGGGGGAACAATCTCCGCGGGAGGGGTGGGTAGAGGCACCAGAGTGACTCACATCGTGGGTAGGGCAACCCAAACCACAAACCCAAACCCCACGGATGAGAATTCTCCCCAAGGGTCATTCAGACAGAAGGACTATATGTTTTTGAAATCCTCACCCGAAAATATGTTTTATTGAGAGGAAGGGAAATGGGATGAGGTCGGGCAGGGAGGGAAAGAGAGAGAGAGAGAAACAGCGATTTGAGAAAACCAATCTGTTGTTGCCTTCTGTTCGTGCCCTGGCCAGGGGTCCAACCCACAACCTAGGTATGTACCCCGAATGGGGATCAGTATTTTAAGGCTCTCCCCAATCCTGTTTGGAAGAATGGGACTGAGGATGACGTCTTGGTATATATGGGGAGACCGAGTCACAGAGGGACAGAGCCACTGGACCAAAACAGCAGTGTGTGTGGGTAGCAAGGCGGGAGGGCATCCTGCGTCTCAGACCAGGGGTCTTCCCTTAGACCCTGGCGCCCTTGTCCTATGACCCCAGTGGCACCTCATGGGCCTGGAACACAAGAGCTACCGGGAGTGGGAGGCTCTTACTGTTCCGGAAAAGCTGAAAACAACCTGAGGGGAAAGCTCAGAGTGAGAAGGGAGGGGGCGCAAGGGGTGTGTGGAGAGGCCCCCCTCTTCAGGCCCTAGCGCCCGAGGGCCCCTGGTAGCAGAGCTTATTCTGTTGCCCTGACTTTTTTCTTGGGGCCCCTCCTTGTCCTCTTCATGAAAAATCATTTTGGTCCCACCAAGTGACATGTAGAAACAACACTTGAAGGGCTGCGAAGTCCTGTCCAAGGAAAAAGCTTTGGGCAAGGGGATGAGAGGGGGGATGCGGGCTGGGGAGCGAGGGGCAGGTCAGTGGGCCCTGAAGCCTTTTTGGGGGGCCAGGGCCTGGAAACAGCCACTCCAGGGCCTGATGCCAGAGGTCATATCTCCGTTCGTCCTCTTCAGCGTGACCCCAGAGCAGGTGGTGATTGAATTGTCACTTCTGGTGACTGTCCATGGTTCCAGGCCCACCAATTCCACAGTTGTTAGTATCTGCCAGGCAGCACCGGCAGACATTAACAGCTGGAGGGAGCCCTTTCTCCTCTTCCCAAAGCCTTGCTGCACTTCATGCAGCAAGAGGCAATTGAACCCCATCACCTGCAGAATGTTCAGCCTTATTTATGTCCCATCGGTTTGCCACAACTCCCCCCAGAGACCCTCATCCTCAGTCAAACCTCCCTACTCATTCTTCCCTACTCTTAGCTCAGAACTCAGCTCCCAACACAGTTGGAAATTCTCCACCCACCCTGCCCCCTGCCTCCTTGCTTCCCCTTCATGAAACATTCCCTGAGCCCATGCCAATGTGCCAAGAACTTACATTGTCTCATTTAATCCAATAACCAGGGAGGTGGCCATTTTCCCCATTGGTAGATGAGGAAGCTACTGTAAAGCCCATGTACATGAGACTCAGGCCAGTGAGAGTCCTTTCCTGGACTTCACACTAGTCTGTGTTTCCCGCTGGGAAAGGACACAAACTTGAGAGGCCCAGGCCTGCTCTCAGGAGCACATACTTGGTGACCATGAATAGAGCGACCTGTCCATTAGCATGGGCTGGGATACTTGGCTGCTTGGGTTGAAGCCCGGCCTCACCACTTACTAGCTTGTTGTTGTGTTACTAACAACCTTTCTGACCCTCATTTTTTTTTCATCTGTAAAGTGGGAGCAGCTATTGCCTGACTAGGAGGTTTTGAGAGCAAGTAATCACTGGGCATATGATAAAAGTAACCAACCATATGATCATTTCTCGGAGGCTTGCCAGGCCCTCGATTTTTCAGTGAACTTTTGTGGCAGCTTTAAGAGGTGGGCACTTGGCCCCCAGCCCTCCCAAGGCCCAGAGCCTCGCTGCACAGCCTCAAGAGACAGGCCTGGTGAGGAGTAGTGGCCTGAATGGGAAATGGAGGGGTGGGGCCCCACAGTGAGGGGCCCCCTACTCTACCCTCCTTCATCTTTCCCTGCACAAAAAAGCCTTATGTGCTGAGGGGAGGCACAGTGGGAAACGGTGCTTGAAAGACCTGAACTGAAAGGCCATCTATCCCTGAATTCACGAGCTGCGAGACTGCCAGCAGTGTTCCCACATGTCTTCAGAGGAAGCGGAGGCTCAACTGCTTGGGGGTCAGGAACCGCAACTGGCCCGATCGGACGTCACAGCCGCTCGGGCCTGTGCAGAGTCTCCTCCGCCCTCAGGGCCAGGCCGCAGAGGGAAAGTCCATCCCGGCCCCCTTGTCTGAGAAAAAACCCGAGTGTGGGCCTCCAACAGTTTCCCGGAGGCCCAACCCTGCCAAACCGAGATTGGGGAAATCAATTAGGAGTTCATAAATTACCACCCTGAAGCACTTTGAAACCATTTGAAGAGTTAATCAAACAAGTTAATGACATCAACACCATCGGAGAAGGAATATTAAATTACCTCTTTAAATGAAGGCTTTTGTTTTTTTAATAAAAGAAGTTTATATTAATTCACATAATTGCCTCCTGTTAACATTCTTGCCAGAATAAAAAAAAGAAATCTGTTGAACTTGGATTATGTCTGATACATTAAGAATTAAATTACAGGCAACAAAAAAAAAATTCCTGGGTTTTCATGTCCAAGTTTTAATTTTTTAAAAGATCCACAACTTTTATTTCCTGGTTGGGATCATTTTTGTAGATTTAAGATGCGAAAGACAAGCACTGACTTGTAGAAAATTAAAAATATGTATATTTTTATGTGTACCCTGCTGCCAAATTCCATCCCTCCACATACCCCGGCAGTAGGTATTACTCTCCTAATAGAGTAATTTACTGGACCACAGTAACGTTTCTAGTCCCCTTCTTTCCAGGCCCGGTCCAAGCCCACCTTGGGTGGTGTCATGGGAGAAGTGTGGCCTGCGTGCATTTAAACACAGACTTTCCCCACGACCCCAGTGCACTGGGAGCGTAAATATGCAACGCACATATACCCATCAACACAGAAGAGAATTGTATTTAAAAGATTAGATTATAAACCACTCTATTAGACCAAAAACTCCTGGGAGGCAGAGACCTCTCTGGTTTAGTCCATCTCTGGCTCTCAACAGGGTGTGTGAGTAAACCCTGGGGGTGGGCCTAACATCTAAGGTGAAGCCAAATAGGAACCGAGGCCACTTCCCAACCCCACTCGTGACCCAGCAGAGCACCCGATGCTGGCTGACTTAGACGGCACCCAGACCAGGCTAAGGCAAGTCGAGGACACTGGCTCTGACACCCCAGGGGACAGGAGGCGCTCTTCATCCGACATCTGTCTCCAATCAAAAGGGAAGGAAGTTGCCCTCAGACATGGATTTACCCTGAAGCTTCAGAAGCCCACGTTGTACCGGCCTCTCCCAAGGCCCTGTTGCTATTTGGTGTTCTCTCTCTTGAAGATGTTATAGAAGCTTCAGGACCCACAAAACTTGAGTCCCCTCTGGTTTCCTGAAAAGCACTGAGGGACTAGAATGACCTTTGGATATGACCTAGGCCTGGTTGCTGCCACCAGAGACCTCAAGGAGGACACATCCCCGCCTTGAGGGAGCTCCCACTCACTGGGAGAGGGCTGAGTGGCACTCGAGATGTTCGGGCCACCTGGTCGGGCCTCGTCCTGAAGGCACCTTCCTGTGCCTCAGCCCACAGGTTTAGGGCGAGCATCGACTGCGCCCAGAAAAATTCTAAAATAGAACTTCCACAGGTTTCCCCCCTCCATGTACTCAAATAATACCTGTTCATCACAGAAATTTTGGAAGTTTCCTTAAAAAGAAGAAGAAAAACTCACACGTAATTTCATCCCCCTAAAATAAGTATATAGCCGGTGTTACTATTTTGGTGAAATGGTTTTTGTGTATAAGAACAGAATCACATTGTACAGGCTGCTTCGCAAGTTTCTGATTTCTTTTCTCCACTGGTGCAGGCCTCCTTCCCTTTGACTTCTCAAAACGGCCACAAAGACGGCCATCTGTCGTGTTTAACAGTGTCACCCCAGGTTCGGGGTGGCACAGAGAACTGAGGTAACTATGGGGCACTGTGACTTAGAGGGAATCCCGGTGCTTAGTCCTGGGGCTGCGCCCCCCCCCCCGCCCCCGGCACACCTCGCCTGGCTGTGTCTGGCCCCAGGCCCTCCCTGCTCCACCCTGCAGCTGGGCCCCTGACACGTGCTCCGGGAATGTTCTCGAGAGTGCAGAACTCCCCTTGCTTTCTTGTACAAAACAGCTCAGCTCCCTGTGTTTCACTCCACTGTTTTCTAAGCCACGCTTCAGGACTTCCCTTTTTCTCACTCTGGCTGGTGTGGCTCAGTTGGCTGGAGTGTCGTCCTGTAAACCTGAAAGGTCACAGGTTTGATTCCCGGTCAGGGAACATGCCCAGGCTGTGGGTTTGTGTGTGCACGAGAGGCGACTGATCGATGTTTCTCTCCCTCTCTCTCTCCCTCCCTTCCCTTTTCTCTAAAATCAATCAGCATATCCTTGGGTGAGGATAAAAAAATTTTTAAAGTATACTCAAATGATATTCTTTTTTTTTTCCAAGATTTTATTTATTTATCTTTAGAGGGGAAGGGAAGGAGAGAGGGAAAGAAACATCAATGTATGGCTGCCTTTCGTGCTTCCCCTG